AAAAGGCACTCCCAGGACATAAGCCTATGAAAGACAGGTTTACTCTTCTGATGTGTGCCAATGCTAGTGGTGATTGCAAAGTGAAGTCTTTATTGGTGTATCACTCAGAAACTCCCAGAGTGTTCAGGCAAAAGAATATCCTCAAGGCTAATTTGTGTGTGCTGTGGAGGGCAAACACTAAGGCATGGGTCACTAGGGACTTTTTCTATGACTGGTTACACCATGCATTTGCCCCCAATGTGAAAAATTACCTAATTGAAAAGAAATTAGACCTTAAGTGCCTCCTGGTGTTAGACAATGCCCCTGGTCATCCTACAGACTTGTCAGAGCAACTTTGTGGGGACATGAGCGTCATTAAGGTCAAGTTTTTGCCTCCTAATACCACTCCTCTCCTGCAGCCCATGGACCAGCAGGGCATTTCCAACTCAGAAACTGTACACAAAAGCTATGTTTGAAAGGTGCTTTGAAATGACCACAGAAACTCTATTGACTCTAAAGGAGTTTTGGAAGGATCACTTTAATATCCTCAATTGTGTGAACCTTATAGGTAAGGCTTGGGAGGGAGTGACTAAGAGGACCTTGAACTCTGCCTGAAAAAAACTGTGGCCAGAATGTGTAGACAAAAGGGATTTCGAAGGGTTTGAGGCTAACCCTGAGAAGCCTATGCCAGTTGAGGAATCCATTGTGGCATTGGGGAAGTCCTTGGGGTTGGAGGTAAGTGTGGAGGATGTGGAAGAGTTGGTGGAGGAGGACAATGATGAACTAACCACTGATGAGCTGCTAGATCATCTTCAACAGCAAGAGGCCACACCTGAGGAAACTGCTTCGGAGGAGGGGAGAGAGAAATTGATGTTGCCTACTTCAAAGATTAAGGAAATATGTGCAAAGTGGCTTGATGTGCAAACCTTTATGGATGAAAATCACCCTCAGACAGCTATTGCAAGCCGTGCTGGTGACTATTACACTGACAATGTTGTGAAACAGTTTAGGAAAGTCATAAAGGAACGAGAGGTACAGGCCACTATGGACAGATATGTTGTGCGACAGAAGTCCAGTGACTCTCAAGCTGGTCCTAGTGGCATTAAAAGAAGAAGGGAAGTAACCCCGGAAAAGGACTTGCTACCTCAAGTCCTAATGGAAGGGAATTCCCCTTCTAAACACTCAGACCATCAACACTCTCCCCTCCTCCCATCCCATCAATCATGTCCTCTTCAGTTTGTGTGTATTAAAATTAATATTTCATGTGGTAAATTTTTTTTTTTTCATACTTTTGGGTGTCTTGCATGGATTAACTTGATTTCCATTATTTCTTATGGGGAAAATTGATTCGCTTTCCGATAATTTTGGTTTACGATGAGCTCTCAGGAATGGATTAATATCGTGAACCGGGGGTCCACTGTATATAAGTTGGTAGTGAATAATAAATAAACACATAAAGCAAGCTGCCTCATGGTAGCTTCAGTCTTATTATAGATCTTTGGTTGATCAGGTTTGGTATCTAATACAGAGAAGTATATAATTAAGATGCATATGTAATGCACAAATCATCACCCTCTTATGTCTGAATTATGAAATTTGATGGAAAACTTGCAGAATTATGCAGGTCCAAAGTTAGCCCATCTCAGTGCAATTCACTCATACTTGGTTTTGCCTAATTGGAGTTCTATTTTAACCCAATTCCATTCATTGATTTTACTAAATTCTTACCTGTTTTGATAGTATGCCTTCTATTCTATCAATTGAACTTAAGAAACACCCATTCAGCTATGAAAACAACCCTCTAAAGTGCACAGAAGTCTATAATTTAGAAAGTTTTCACATAAATAAATTCCAGTTTAAAAACAGAGTCCAAAATAAATGCTGTAGACATTCCAGGCACTGAAATAGCATTTTCTCTGTTCAATAATCATATCCTCTGGCCTCTCTTTTATTACATTTGCTTTCCATTTTGAATTCATCATCACACAAAAAGTTGAAGATTTACCCTATTTCTTGGAGAATAAAATATAACCAGGAATGATTAGTCATAGTTTACGGTATCTCAGTAATTGAATCTGAACCTAGTAAAAACCCGTAAAATAGACTCAGGGTTAAATCAGGAAGTGGGTGGGGCTTGATCTCATGGCAGCTTAGTCAGTGTTCTGTGATTCGTTTGCACTCGTGCTATTGCTGTTTCGTGAGTCAAGAGACTTGGGGGTGTAAGGAGGCCTTACCTGTCCTTAGGAAAATCAGCAAATATCTACAGTTTCTGCTACTTGGAGGCCAATTTCATCGAGCTATTTCCAGTCCTGGCACCAGCCAAAATCATTTCTATTTCATAATCATAGTCTATATTTCATCATGATACGATGTTTGTACCAGTGGTAGCTCGTAGCTCAAATTAGTGGAGGTACTGCTTCAGAAAATTTTTAGTCATTGTTTTAATACTGTGTAAAACGAAACAAGCATATAAAAAGAAAATTTATACATAAGCTTGATAAAATCCTAAACAAAAAAAATATATTTTACTTACCTAAATTGTTAGTTTAAGCTTGATCCATTCCTTTAAATATAAAATCCATTCTTCTTCTTCTACTTTGTGTGAAAATTATTAAATTATTTAAATTTTCTGTAAAATAAAAGAACTGAAGAAAACTATGAATTAAATAAAATAGCTGGAAGCATGATAATCATCTAATTCTACACTTTATTACATTCAAGAACACAGTACATACATGGTTTTTAAGGACAACACACGTTGCTGAGTCAAAAAGAAACACTACCTTACACTTGCACAACAGGGTCAGCACTGCATCAGCAACAGTGCTTTCTCTGCCTAACGTGCAGCGTCTTATCTCGGACATTTGAGCATGCACACGACAGTCACTGGAACTGTGAAGCGCACAGTTCCATACGAGGATTTTTGTAATTTTTTCATATGCTAGAGGAGGGCTACTGACATTAAGCTTAAGAATTATACAGTGTACAAGTATAAAGAAAGAATTAAAGAAAAAAGACTCATTATATTGAATGTTATTGATAATATCAAGTGAAGATAGGGGGTGCTGAGTTCCACAGTGCCTATACACAAGCCGCCACTGGTTTGTACAGAGATAAGAGGTCTCTTATCTAGGGCTTTCAGGATGCTATTTGTAAGGGCTACCTAATCTCTTAGCAGTAATCTGCTTCATTTTTATTGACAATGTTTGTTGTACAGTCTTTGTATTTTCTGCACATTGCAAATAAATTTCTATCTGTTCATTGGTAAATTCTGCAGGCCAGGCTGTTGAACTTAATGCTCCAGTGAAGTTATTCATTAACCCTTTGACTATCGCAAGCCCTTTTCTGAAACTGTCATTCTATGTCGCAAAATTTTTTGAAAAAAAAAAAAAAAAAAAAAAACTTTTTCTTACGAAATGATAGAGAATCTTTTCCTCATGGTAATGACACCAAAAGTGTGAAATTTGGTTGAAAACTCAAGGAATTACGCTCCCGCAAAGTTAGCGGTCTCGGCGACATATATGCGTCAGCGATTTCGCCGACTTTGAGCCCTGTTTTTGGCCAATTCCGTTGTTCCAGTTGACCAAACTCATAGCTATTTCTTTAGAACTCCATTTGTTCTATCAGTTGAGTACAAGAAACTGCCCACTTACTGATTTGAACTACCCAATAAAGTGGTCAGAAATTGGCAATTTGGCCAATTTCAAGCAAATTAAAAAAGATGCCAGTTTCAAAATAGGGTCCGGAATAAACAATGTAGACATTCTTGGCACTAAAATAACATATGCTCTGTTCATTAGTCATGTCTCTAGGCCCCTCTTATATTACTATTGCTTTCTATTTTGATTTTTTATTCGTACAAAAAATACAAAATTTACTGTTATGCAGACTACTGCATTATTGTAAAAATGGTATAAATAATATCAGTGCACTAGTGAAAGAATATTAGACTCCCCAGTTGACGTGTATTGGACGTGTGGTGTGATTTGCTTGCTCCTGAACATTGGTAAAAATCAAACATTTCCGCTACTTTGAGCTCAATTTCAAGGTCGTTTTCATTATGAAACTAATCAAAATCATATCTATTTCTGTAATATGTTTTCCATTTTATCACATGAGACCATGAAAATGAGAATACAACAATAAATACTATACAAAAATACACCTCAAAGTTGGCGTTTTAATCCTAAAAAACGGTCAGCGTTTTTTTTCTCATTATGCACTGCGTGCTGTAGGATTTTTTTTTTTATGTGGTGCACACTGACCACACAGACCCATTCTCTCACATGTGGACCTACCAGCTTTCTCCTGCTTGATTTGAAGCCGCTTGAATTTATGCATATTAATACGTCCGAAACACTGGCTCGTAAGACATATGTATATGACCAAAACAGTCAAAGGGTTAATGTCTCATCATGGAGGCGAAATGAGATCTTACTATATTCCATTTCTGTAGTATATCTTTTATTCTGTCAAATGATACCAAGAAACAGTCAATAAAACCATAAGAACTATTGTAGAAAACATGTCAGTCACTATATTAAAACGAACACAATGTTAGAGTTTTGCTTTTTCTATCATGCAGTGCATGGAGCATGTTTTTTTTATACATTGCAATTTCCATACAGACCCATTCTCTCATATCTAGGCCAAAATTTACCACTCAGGCCTATCTGAGTGAGCTGAGCTCAAATCATAGATCTACATGAGGGACCCTGGCATCAGTAATGCAGATCTATGTGACATTGGAAGGGTTAAGCAAATATATTATGTGCCACTATTTTCTTCACTACAGGCATCATTTCACAATTAAACTTCTTGGCATCTTCATCTACACAAAAGTTCCTTTTTGATGTCATGGTTAATATCCAGACATGGCACAGGGTGATAAAAAGATCAGAAATGGAGTGGAGTGGTAACACAGGAGAGAGATTGTATAGTATGCATCAACAAGGCAACTGGTGGTGGTGTGGGAGGGAGGGAAGGGGATGGGTGTAAACAATGCTAGGTCTACAAGAAAACAAAAAAGATTTGAGGCACATGGGAGGGAAATTGGCTTGCTTGTCCTGCCATGATGGCTGGCCATATTAGAGCACAAAGTGAAAATATGTAAAGCTGCTATGCAAGGTGGGGAATCTCCAGAGCAAAAGGTACAAATAGATCAAAAAATGAATCATGAACAGGTGGAGACATGGTCAGTGGAGGCATAAAGGTGTTGTTCTGCTGTATTTGTAATAGGCAACAAAGGATCCTCACAGGCCTGTCTCACTGACAAGTGTTGTGGAAATTGCTGGAAAGAGTAATTATAGATTAGCTTGTAAAACACTTGGAGAACAGAGAAATAATTACTAGCAAACATTTTCATTTTTGATAAATTAATTCCTGTATATCAAATCTGTAGCAGTCATATAAATTATTAACGAATGAAATGGGTATGTATTTTAACAAATTAGATGGGTATACATTTTGCTTTTAAGGTCTTCAGTAGAGTTCCTCATGAAATGTTTATCTGAAAACTAAAAAAAATAAATAGTTTAAGAAGTTAACTATTACTGTAGATGGAAGATTTTTTGTTTCATCAGAGTGAGGCCAAATCCTAGTGCCCTAGATGAACTACCCTGGTTAAATTTCCTGCCATAAGTGGAGAAATAGATGAGATATACTCACCCTGCCAGCAAGAAAGTGTCTGTAGTATTTATTTACTGAAATTCAAAACTAAGGCTCCGAAAAATCTGGTGTATGGTAAGTGATTATGCAAGGGTATGTGGTACCTGGTAAGAAATATTTAAAAATTAAAGGAAACGAATGTGGTGATCTTCAATAGGTTATAAGTAAATACTGGCTTAGCAGTTCTTTTAATAAGTTTATAATATTTTTCATTGTCATTAAACTGTAAATTGTCATAGTCTTTACTTCTCTTCTTTTGAGTCAAGTACATAAGGTCCATGGAATTGGATATTATTAGAGTTAGTTTCCGTGGAGAGTCAAAACTGTGATAAGGACCTACTGCTCATTCCCAGGCAATGTTACCCTAAGAGCCAATACCTCTGTGACTCCTATTGGGCTCTCCTGCTCTAGCCTACTTTCTTATCTCTTCCTTGTGCTGGAACTTTACTGTCTTTTCAGGCTACTACTACTACTACTACTACTGAAAGAGCAGGTGGTGGCAGCATATATTCTTAATTGAGAGAATTGAGCCCTACTTTTTCCCCCTTCACTTCTTTCATGTTTCCTTTCCTTTTCTGTGTTTTTTGTTCCACCCTGATTGTAGCCTGTTGGAGTATAGACACGGTGGCAATATATAGTGCTCTGCTGACCCCAGGTTGGGATTGGGGTGGCCACTTCATTTCATACAGTATCATTAAAATAAAGCTTTGAGTGTTTTCTAATGAGAATGGTATTAATTAAAGTACAAGTAAGCATCATAAATATGCATTCCCATAAGTATACCATTGGCATACAATTTGCCTGCCAGATTCTATAAATGCCAGGGCTACTTTTTTGTGGAAAACTGCCAAAGACATAAATAATTGGCTTAATTATTGTGATTTTTTCTGCCAAATCTGATAGACAACATTTGGAAACTTACTAAGCATAAGCTTCACGCCATGGATGTGTCCTCTAACTCCAAAATCTCGAGTGTCATTAAGCAGGTGTGAGAGAGTATTGACTTTTCTATCTTCCATATGTTAGCCATATCATTGCCTAGGTGATAGTGAGCAGTCTTGTTTTCTGTGTAATATGTAAATGCATATGCATATTTTTGACACCTACTGTACATTAATTAATTATAATACCAGTCTGTCTTCTGTCTATGCTCATCCTTTAAATCTGTGAATTTTTTTACCTATATTCATATGTCAGGCTTTTTATTAATTCTCATTAATATAAATACTTACACTCACCTGTCTTCTAACTTTTATAAATTTAGTCATTACATAATTAGCAGATCTCTTGATCTCTCCACTCGTCACCTGTCCTTCACCCTGCCCCAGCTTAAGGTCTCGAGTTGTGGTGCCACCACGTAGTATCTAGCTTGTGGCGCCTTCCCTCACAGTTACTGGTCTTGGTCCCACTACTGGACAACACCCTCATCCTGGTCACCTCCTCAGGGGTGCCTGTAGCCTTGCACCTCAGTGGCGTTGCTGGCTTCCAGACATTGGCTCACCATCACAGTGAGGAAAACGGTGGCTTATGGAAATTTGTGGCAAGGTGAATGATTGCTCTCTCTAGTTTGATTTTTCTGATAAATCACAGATTGCATTTTTTAGTGTTTTCAACATATTATTTGTAGTGAAATTTAATCTGATGCTTTTGCTTCTGTCATAAGGCAAGGGCAGAAAACAATATTAATTTTGCATATTCTTTTGAAAAATTAAAGAAATCAGTGAAGTACATGTATATCTTACACTTAAGAATGATATTTTAAACAAAATGCATACAGTCATGTCTAAACTTAACTATTAAACTCTTTGCCAGTGGTGGTGTGTCACTGGGAACAAGTGTTGTGGTGGGTCAGCAGCACTCATTAGTTCTTGAGAGCCAGTTCCTGTGGTCTTTTGACTTTCCTGTCAGTGCTGCCTATGAGTATGAGGTAAAGTGTGTTTACTTCTAAAAGTACATACTTTTAAATATGTATTTGATTGAATGATTCATGTTAATTTTCTTAGAAAATTTGGTAAAGTGCAGTAAAATCAAATTTAACCTTGTTTTGCAGAACTTAATTTGTATGTAATTTTGAAAATATATAAATTAACCATAACTAGGGCTTAATTGCTATTTAGTTTTAAAAATATTAGTTAACGATGATGAGGGCTGTGTAATATACAAGAATTCAGTGTGTTATAGACAGTCACACAACTAAACATTAGGTGTGTATACAGGATGAGGCAGTTCGGGTGAATATAAACTTTCCAGAGGACTGGAAGGGTCGGATGTGGCAACGACGACGAGATACATCTTTGGCTGGCAAGACCTTGCAACTCAGGTCCTTGTTTGATATTATATGTCTATCTTCCTATCTGTCTGTCTTTCTGCATGTCTCTCTATATATCTTTCTATCTATCATTCTGTTTCTGTCTATCTCTATATCTCTGGCTCTATCTTTATCTATCTCTCTACATCAATGGTCTCCCCAATGCATCTCAACTCCTTAAACCAGTTCTGTTCACAGATGACACTACTTATGTCTTCTCCCACTCAAACCTGGCTATACCTAGAGATACTGTAAACAATGAGCTGCAAAAAAATACCAACTTGGATGACCAACAAACTTACTCTCAGTATAGACAAAACCTACTTAATGCTTTTTGGAAACAGGGCCTTAAATATCCAACTTAACATATCGATAAATGGTTTCCCCATTACAAGACACACTGAGGGTAAATTTCAGGTACTACCGTCTTGCCAAGTAAGTGTAAAACGAGAGCCTGTAATTGTTTTACATGATGGTGGAATTGCTGGTGTCTTTTGTCTGTCTCATAAATATGCAAGATTACGGGTAGGTCTTGCTACTACTACATACACTTAGGTCACATTACACATACATGTTCACGTTTATTTATACACACTCATCTGAGTTTTCTTTGATTTTATCTTAATAGTTCTTAGTACTTTTTCTTTTATATCCATGGGGAAGTGGAATAAGAATCTTTCCTCCGTAAGCCATGCATGTTGTAAAAGTTAACTAAAATGCCGGGAACAATGGGCTAGTAACCCTTTTCCCTGTAATGATTACTAAAAAGAATAAGAAGAAAATTGTCAGAGTGGGATGTCTGAATGTGCGTGGATGTTGTGCCAATGATAAGAGATGATTGTGGATGCTATGACTGAAAAGAAGCTGGATGTCCTGGCTTTAAGTGAAACAAAGATGAAGGAGGTGGGAGAGTTTCAGTGGAGAGAAGTAAATGGAATTAGGTCAATGGTTTCAAATAGAGTTAAAGCTAAAGAAGGAGTAGCAATAATATTGAAGGATAAGCTATGGCAGGAAAAGAGGGAATATAAATCTATTAATTCAATGATTACATGGAGTAAAATAAAGGTTGGATGTGAAAAGTGGGTTATAGCAAGCATATATGCACCAGGAGAAGAGAGAAGTGTAGAGGAGAGAGGTTTTGGGAATTATTGAGTGAGTGTGTGGAGAGTTTTGAGCCAAGTGTGAGAGTACTTGTGGTTGGGGATTTCAATGCTAAAGTGGGTAAAAATGTTATGGAGGGAGTAGTAGGTAACTTTGGGGTGCCAGGGGTAAATGAAAATGGGGAGCCTTTAATGGAGCTATGTGTAGAAAGAGGTTTGGTAATAAGTAATACATATTTTATGAAAAAGAGGATAAATATACAAGGTATGATATAGCACGTAATGAAAGTACAGTGGACCCCCGCATAACGATTACCTCCGAATGCGACCAATTATGTAAGTGTCCTGTAAAGATTTCTAAAAAGAATAAGAAGAAGAAAATTGTCAAAGTGGGAAGTCTGAATGTGCGTGGATGTTGTGCAAATGATAAGAAAGAGATGATTGTGGATGTTATGAATGATAAGAAACTGGATGTCCTGGCTTTAAGTGAAACAAAGCTGAAGGGGGTGGGAGAGTTTCAATGGAGAGGAATAAATGGGATTAGGTCAGGGGTTTCAAATAGAGTTAGAGCTAAAGAAGGAATAGCAGTAATGTTGAAGGATAAGCTATGACAGGAAAAGAGGGACTACAAATGTATAAATTCAAGGATTATGTGGAGTAAAATAAAGATTGGATGTGAAAAGTGGGTTATAGTAAGCGTGTATGCACCTGGAGAAGAGAGAAGTGTAGAGGAGAGAGAGAGATTCTGGGAAATGTTAAGTGAATGCATGGGGAGTTTTGAATCAAGTGTGAGAGTAATGGTGGTTGGGGATTTCAATGCTAAAGTGGGTAAAAATGTTATGGAGGGAGTAGTAGGTAAATTTGGGGTGCCAGGGGTAAATGGAAATGGGGAGCCTTTAATTGAGCTATGTGTAGAAAGAAATTTGGTAATAAGTAATACATATTTTATGAAAAAGAGGATAAATAAATATACAAGGTATGATGTAGCACGTAATGAAAGTAGTTTGTTAGATTATGTATTGGTAGATAAAAGGATGATGGGTAGGCTCCAGGATGTACATGTTTATAGAGGGGCAACTGATATATCGGATCATTATTTAGTTGTAGCTACAGTTAGAGTAAGAGGTAGATGGGAAAAGAGGAAGGTGGCAACAACAAGTAAGAGGGAGTGAAAGTGTATAAACTAAGGGAGGAGGAAGTTCGGCGAGATACAAGCGACTATTGGCAGAAAGATGGCTAGTGCAAAGATGAGTAGTGGGGGGGTTTGAAGAGGGTTGGAATAGTTTTCAAAATGCAGTATTAGAATGTGGGCAGAAGTTTGTGGTTATAGGAGGGTGGGGGCAGGTGGAAAGAGAAGTGATTGGTGGAATGATGAAGTAAAGGTGTGATAAAAGAGAAAAAGTTAGCTTATGAGAGGTTTTTACAAAGCAGAAGTGTTATAAGAAGAGCAGAGTAATATGGAGAGTAAAAGAAAGGTGAAGAGAGTGGTGAGAGAGTGCAAAAGGAGAGCAGATGATAGAGTGGGAGAGGCACTGTCAAGAAATTTTAATGAAAATAAGAAAAAATTTTGGAGTGAGTTAAACAAGTTAAGAAAGCCTAGGGAAAGTATGGATTTGTCAGTTAAAAACAGAGTAGGGGAGTTAGTAGATGGGAGAGGGAGGTATAGGTAGATGGCAAGAATATTTTGAGAAACTTTTAAATGTTGAGGAAGAAAGGGAGGCGGTAATTTCATGCACTGGCCAGGGAGGTTATACCGTCTTTTAGGAGTGAAGAAGAGCAGAATGTAAGTGAGTGGAGGTATGTGAGGCATTACGTAGAATGAAAGGGAGTAAAGCAGCTGGAACTGATGGGATCATGACAGAAATGTGAAAAGCAGGGGGGGATATAGTGTTGGAGTGTTGGTACTTTGTTTAATAAATGTATGAAGAAGGGAAGGTACCTAGGGATTGGCGGAGAGCATGTATAGTCCCTTTATATAAAGGGAAAGGGGACAAAAGAGATTGTAAAAATTACAGAGGAATAAGTTTACTTAGTATAGCAGAAAAGTATACGGTAGGGTTATAATTGAAAGAATTAGAGGGAAGACAGAATGTAGGATTGCAGATGAGCAGGGAGGCTTCAGAGTTGGTAGGGGATGTGTAGATCAAGTGTTTACATTGAAGCATATATGTGAACAGTATTTAGATAAAGGTAGGGAAGTTTTTATTGCATTTATGGATTTAGAAAAGGCATATGATAGAGTGGATAGAGGAGCAATGTGGCAGATGTTGCAAGTATATGGAATAGGTGGTAAGTTCCTAAATGCTGTAAAGAGCTTTTATGAGGATAGTGAGGCTCAGGTTAGGGTGTGTAGAAGAGAGGGAGAATACTTCCCGGTAAAAGTAGGTCTTAGACAGGGATGTGTAATGTCACCATGGTTGTTTAATATATTTATAGATGGGGTTGTAAAAGAAGTAAATGCTAGGGTGTTCAGGAGAGGGGTGGGATTAAATTATGGGGAATCAAATTCAAAATGGGAATTAACACAGTTACTTTTTGCTGATGATACTGTGCTTATGGGAGATTCTAAAGAAAAATTGCAAAGGTTAGTGGATGAGTTTGGGAATGTGTGTAAAGGTAGAAAGTTTGAAAGTGAACATAGAAAAGAGTAAGGTGATGAGGGTATCAAATGATTTAGATAAAGAAAAATTGGATATCAAATTGGGGAGGAGAGTATGGAAGAAGAGAATGTTTTCAGATACTTGGGAGTTGACGTGTCGGCGGATGGATTTATGAAGGATGAGGTTAATCATAGAATTGATGAGAGAAAAAAGGTGAGTGGTGCGTTGAGGTATATGTGGAGTCAAAAAATGTTATCTATGGAGGCAAAGAAGGGAATGTATGAAAGTATAGTAGTACCAACACTCTTATATGGATGTGAAGCTTGGGTGGTAAATGCAGCAGCGAGGAGACGGTTGGAGGCAGTGGAGATGTCCTGTCTAAGGGCAATGTGTGGGTGTAAATATTATGCAGAAAATTCGGAGTGTGGAAATTAGGAGAAGGTGTGGAGTTAATAAAAGCATTAGTCAGAGGGCAGAAGAGGGGTTGTTGAGGTGGTTTGGTCATTTAGAGAGAATGGATCAAAGTAAAATGACATGGAAAGCATATAAATCTATAGGGGAAGGAAGGAGGGGTAGTGGTCGTCATCGAAAGGGTTGGAAAGAGGGGGTAAAGGAGGTTTTGTGGGCGAGGGGCTTGGACTTCCAGCAAGTGTGCATGAGCGTGTTAGATAGGAGTGAATGGAGGCGAATGATACTTGGGACCTGACGATCTGTTGGAGTGTGAGCAGGGTAATATTTAGTGAAGGGATTCAGGGAAACCGGTTATTTTCATATAGTCGGACTTGAGTCCTGGAAATGGGAAGTACAATGCCTGCACTTTAAAGGAGGGGTTTGGGATATTGGCAGTTTGGAGGGATATGTTGTGTATCTTTATACGTATATGCTTCTAAACTGTTGTATTCTGAGCACCTCTGCAAAAACTGTGATAATGTGTGAGTGTGGTGAAAGTGTTGAATGATGATGAAAGTATTTTCTTTTTGGGGATTTTATTTCTTTTTTGGGTCACCCTGCCTCGGTGGGAGATGGCCGACTTGTTGAAAAAAAAAAAAAAAAAAAGCTACAGTTAGAGTAAGATGTAGATGGGACAAGAGGAAAATGACAACAAGAAGTAAGAGGGAGGTGAAAGTGTATAAACTAAGGGAGGAAGAAGTTCGGGTGAGATATAAGCAATTATTGGCAGAAAGGTGCTAGTGCAAGTATGAGTAGTGGGGGGGGGGTTGAAGAGAGTTGGAATAGTTTAAAAAATGCAGTATTAGAATGTGGGGCAGAAGTTTGTGGTTATAGGAGGGTGGGTGCAGGAGGAAAGAGGAGTAATTGGTGGAATGATGAAGTAAAGGGTGTCATAAAAGAGAAAAAGGTAGCTTACGAGAGGTTTTTACAAAGCAGAAATTTTGATGTGTCAACGGATGGATTTATGAAGGATGAGGTTAATTATAGAATGGATGAGGGAAAAAAGGGGAGATGTTGAGGTATATGTGGAGACAATAAACGTTGTCTATGGAGGCAAAGAAGGGAATGTATGAAAGTATAGTCGTACCAACACTCTTATATGGGTGTGAAGCTTGGGTTGTAGAGCCTGCAGTGAGGAGGCGGTTGGAGGCGTTGGAGGTATCCTGTCTAAGGGCAATGTGTGGTGTAAATACATATTATGCAGAGAATTCGGAGTGTGGAAATTAGGAGAAGGCGTGGAGTTAATAAAAGTATTAGAGGGTTGAAGATCTGTTGTTGAGGTGGTTTGGTCATTTAGAGAGAATGGATCAAAGTAGAGTGACATGGAGAGCATATAAATCTGTAAGGGAAGGAAGGTGGGATAGGGGTCGTCCTTGAAAAGGTTGGAGGGAGGTGGTATAGGAGGTTTTGTGGGCAAGGGGCTTGGACTTCCAGCAAGTGTGCCTGAGCGTGTTAGATAGGATTGAATGGAGACGAATGGTATTTGGGACCTGATGAGCTGTTGGAGTGTGAGCAGGGTAATATTTAGTGAAGGGATTCAGGGAAACCAGTTATTTTTATATAGCCGGACTTGAGTACTGGAAATGGGAAGTACAATGCCTGCACTTTAAAGGAGGGGTTTGGGATATTGGCAGTTTGGAGGGGTATGTTGTGTATCTTTATATGTATATGCTTCTTAAGTGTTGTGTTCTTGGCACCTCTGCAAAAACAGTGATTATGTATGAGTGAGGTGAAAGTGTTGAATGATGTTGAAAGTACAGTGGACCCCCGGTTTACGATATTATTTAATTCCATAAGTATGTTCAGGTGCCAATACTGAACGAATTTGTTCCCATAAGGAATATTGTGAATTAGATTAGTCCATTTCGGACCCCCAAACATACACGTACAAACGCACTTACGTAAGTACACTTACATAATTGGTCGCATTGGGAAGTGATCGTAAACCGGGGGTCCACTGTATTTTCTTTTTGGGGATTTTCTTTCTTTTTTGGGTCACCCTGCCTCGGTGGGAGACGGCCAACTTGTTAAAAAAAAAAAAAAATCCAGCATATATCCAAGAAAATTTCCAAATCAGTATGTATCCATTTCAAGATGTGGTACTATGTACCCCAAATGACATTCCTTACCCTATACTACTCTAATATATCCCTACCTCATCTACGGTATTTGTGCCTAGGAATCGACCATGGTCAACCACCTTAAACCTTTAACCTTTTGGGAATCCGTCCCGTAGTTCTTCAGCTTTGAAGCCAGGGTCCAAGCCATAGTACAGGTCGGCCATCACTAATCCAACAATCAGTCATCCGGTTCCATCAATTATTTGGCACTAATTTCAGCTAGCATAAGTTCAAATTTCCAGGGTTGCCGAATGAGTCGTTGCATGAGTCATTCCAGTTTCTTTTTCTCCATTTATTGTCATAATCTGCTTGCTTTTAGCCCTAGCCATGGCTCCAATGAATAAAAGAAATGCTTCTCGTTGTGTAAGACACATACACAGTACATTGCCCATTATACATAAGGCGGCCTTGAAGTCACTGTTGGTTGCCATGAGCTCAGTCTCGTGATGCAGGGGAATATGCATTACAGTGGACCCCTGCATAACGATTACCTCCGAATGCGACCAATTATGTAAGTGTATTTATGTAAGTGCGTTTGTACGTGTATGTTTGCGGGTCTGAAATGGACTAATCTACTTCACAATATTCCTTATGGGAACAAATTCGGTCAGTACTGGCACCTGAACATACTTCTGGAGTGAAAAAATATCGTGTCCACTGTATTGTTATGCTAATATCAACACGGCTTATTTACCTATCATAATTGATCTAATATGACATAATAAACAATATAAATAGCACAAAAACACGGTAAATACTCCACAATGAATAATATTTGGCATAATACGGAGTGGTTTGACAGAGGTATGAAGAGGATATGGGATACATGTACCATTCTCTTATCCCTGTCTTGGGAGCTTATATTAAAGAAAATGGAGTATAGCACAGAGCTAACTGTGATATACACTCGTAGTGCATCATAAATCTGAAACAAAAAAACTTTTTTCTCTACATAGATTATCATACATAGCATCAGA